TCTGTGATTCTGTGATTCTGTGAAAAGGCACCCCGGAGCATCCCGGGGGGTAGGGAGGAGGGCGACACAGCGTGGGCATCCCCGACTCCGCCTCGCCAGCCCCTCGACCCTTCTTCGCTTCCTCAGTTTTCCGCAAAACTCTCCCACCCACAGGCTTCGCCAGTCTCTGAGCTGAAATGCACAGACCTTCAGATGCGTTAGCAGAAGGTGACCGCAAGATGTCCCAGTTGCTTCGCTGAGATGTCGGGTCCTGCTGTGTCCTGCTCCCATCCTTCGTGTGTCTGTATAAACACAAGCACTTTAAATTGTTGTTTGGTTTGGTTTGGTTTTTTTGTTGTGTTTTTGTTTTTGTTTTTAATCAGACTTGTTCATTGTGTCCTGCGGAAAGGTAGGAATTGATGGTTCTAGCTCATTTGCAGGTTATCAGTTCAGGGTATAAGATAGAAGATATCCTAGATTTCATCCTCCCTTATACTCCCAGCCTGCAGAGATTTGAATTGAGTCAGAGGAAAAAATCTAGGTTTGACTTTGCATGCAAATACTTTTTTTGCTGCCTGGAGTAACTGGTTAAGCACAGTTCCCCTACAGGCTTCAGCTCCTCTTTGGCAGATGATGCAGCACGCTCAGAAAACACTCATTTCTGTGTTGTGAACTTGAGACTTTTTTTGTTGTTGTTCTTTAATACTTCGATCTTCTTTGCAGTCCAGAAAGCTACCTGCTTAGCCTGGATGGGGTCCTGGGGGCTGATGAAATCAGTTAGCTCAGAAATACAGTGAGAAAGAAGTTTATTCTCAGAATAGTTACTAAGGAGAACCTGATGAGTTTTGAAGAATACAGCTATGGGCCTTTATAGTCTGCAAATTGAATTCAAGAACTAATGCATGGCCTGTGCAAGCAATTGCTATGGATGCTCCAAACAAATGGCGTTTTCTTTCACGACCGCCTGGCTGGTGCCTCTTCCCGGCTGGAGCCAGTCAGAGTTTCTCATTCAGTGTCTCTGCTCCAGGGCACCAGGAGGAAACCTTTGCTGTACCAGCCACACAGGGAAAAGAAAAACACTAACTAGAAATCAGAGTTGTCAAGTGGAGCAGCAAGGGCAGAAAGGACCTTGTCTGGTACCTTCGGGAAGGGCTGAGGAAGTGGACGAAGGTTTCCTCTTCCTCCAGCGACTGCCACTGCCGTGGGGTCCAGCCGCGTTCCCGGGAAGGTGCTGTTCTCCCATCGCTCGCTGGAGAGCCAAGTCCCACGTGCTCCGTCCCCAGGGCCAGCTGGGACAGGGCTGACCTCCCGCCCTTCGTCCTCTTCTGCCCAGGGGAGCATGAGAACATCCCGGGAGCCCGGCGGTTCCCACCCGGCAGGAGGGCTCAGCTCGGCACATGACAGCGGGCTCCTGTAGGGGCTCAGTGGCCAGTGGGGGAGCTTTGCCCACAAGCGGTGGCTTAGTGTGAAAGCTCCTGTAACCCACAAGCTCTGTGCGAGGGGGGAGGCAGCAGTGGTACAGGTTTCTTGTTTGCCAGCTGATCGGAGGAGTGGGAATTCTCTTCTTTGAAAAACACAATTGAGGAGCAAACACCACAAGCTGGTCCTCATCTCCTGGCGAGCAGGTTTGGTGACTGGAGCCCTGTGCCCTGAACATCCCGGGGGTTAGGCAAATTGACCCCATGGGAACTGCATGTCCTGGCCTGTATGTCTGGGAGCTTCTCAGCAGCCTGGGAATCCTGCCTGTGCCAGGGTTTTCTCTGCAGTGGATTTGCTGGCTATAGGGAACTGGGAAGGGTTCAAGTTCAAAGCTTCGTCTTTGTCTGCTAGGACCATGAGATGAGCCTTTAAGCAGTCTGTGAGCCCTGCATATGAGCTCATGGTTTCAGGAGGGAGCAGCAGCCTGCCAGACAGATGAACAATTTTCAGCACGTGGTTTGCTGGATCCTGCTATGCCCTTTGTGCCATGACTGATGTCTGAAAGAGGAAAAGCTCCCCTTCTCTGAGAGAAATACCAAGCCTGCTGCTTGCTGGTGGGCAGTGGGAGGAGAAGTCAGCTGGGATGAGACAGCTGATTTCCCCATGGTGACACCCTATGGTCCATGTGATGCTTGTTCCATCTTCGTCAGTCCATATGTCATTGACTCATTTTTTTCAGCTGTGTGTCACAAAAATAAGTCTTTCCTTCACCAACAGTAAGACTAGAAGAGGTGTAAAGCCCCAGCAGTGCTGTGCACTTGGCTCTGTCCTGTAGTGGGGTTATTCTCTGGGCTTCACACAACAGGTTTGCCCACTTACTTCAGGAATTGCCAGTGTTACTGATCTGAATTGCCTTAAAAATTATTTTATTTTTGAGTCCTGGCTGTCTGATGCCAGCTGTCTTGGTTTCCTCTCCTGCATCTCCCAGCACCTGCGTCCAGGATCCTCTCTCGGAGCAATAAGGCACTAGAGCATGGAGAGCTTTCAAGCAAGACTGGGGTCCCTCTCTGCTGCTGGGTATGTAGGTCTGCTTTAATTCCCCTCCTTTTCTCTGTCTCGATAGCTGTTGAATGGCCTTTTTCCACTGAAAAACCTCGTTTGCTAGTAAAAATTCTCCCTTAAAGGAAAACTGAGGCTGCTGTTGGGCAGGGGGAGACAGGGATTGCCTGGCTGGATTTAATCCTTCTCCTTCTCTCCACCAGGTTTTCTGGTCTCTGGAGAGTTACTCCAGATGAGAGGCCTGAGAAATTTTATTTCTTCCCAAACATTTTTTTCATTAGACATTTAAATAGCTTTATGGGACATTTAATTTTGTCTGCAGTGGCCAAATTCCTATCCTTGGAGATTTCCTTTGGTACTGGACCGTCAGCACGAAACTTCTTTCTCTGATCAGTTCTGTATTTGTCACTTTTAAGCCTGCAGACATTTGCTTGGTCTCTTGTAAAGAGTCAGGAAGATCAGAAACTCCCACTCAACTGCCTCTTACCAATTGAACACCTTGTAATTACAACTCTGGTCTAACAATTTCCACAGCAGCCAGGTGCCACCTCTTTCTCTCTCCAGCATCCTCTAAATAACCACTAAAGCCGCTCTTAGCCACTGTTAAGGAGTTGAGCCCTCTGAATGACTTTATTATGATTTTTATAGAATAATACAATGCTTTCCTGTGCTTGCATTAAAGGATGAGCAGTGGCATTGTACTTGGTATTTGATCTTTCTAGAAATGTTTTGAACTTTCCTGTTCTGCATCCTTCCAGGAAAGATCTCAGTCCCAGCTACTCAGGTTAGCAGAGAGGTAGAGAAGAGGGAGGCACTCAGAGAAGGACTTTATAAAGACTCATGAGTGACAATCTCAAGCAAGCCCCCTAATTAGTGCGTTTCCATACTACCTTTGCTAACACCCAGGTGCTTGTTCTCTGCACAGGATGAGAGCCCATGTCTACTGTGAAGATTTTCTGTTCCCGAAGATGCACAAGACTGCAGCAGAGCTATGGTCAGTATACTCCAAGCCCATCCCAGCAAACAGCAGAGAGCTGTGGGCCTTGTTTCTGCAGTGTTCCTGCATTACAGCAGTGATAGGAGGCCTCTTTTACAACTGGATGTTTTCTTCCCTGGAGTACTCCTGGCATCTCTCCATTGCAATGGCTGTCTCCTTCAGTCTGCTCCTTCTCCTCACCCTTTTCTTGATGCATCCTGCTCGCTGTGTCTTCAGTATGATCATGCCTACTTTGGGTACCAAACAAGGCCGAAAGCTCCTCTTGTCAACCTGCATCATGATAGTAGTGGTTAATGTAACACCCAACATCATCAGCAACATCAAAACCATACTGCAGGTTATTAAGTGCATCTGCAAGAATTCTGGTGAGAGTCTTTTGAACTCAACTGCTCTGTTAGAGACTGCTTCCTGGGAGTTTGGGGATGCAATCCAAGAGAACATTAATTCCATTAATTTTCATAGGCCCATGAATGGACATTTTCAGTTTTCACTGCTTCAGAACAGCTCCTTGATTTACCAGCAAATGCACCTTGCTGGTGAGAAAATTGGAAGAGACTTCTTGGCTGTTGAGGTACTGGTCAAAGACACTGTACGTGTAGGCAACAAACTGGTTGCTGGCTTCTCCATTCTCTATCTCTGTTTTGAGTCCACCTGTTATTTGAAAAACTATCTCACTAACCTCTGCTTTGACAATTTTTACATCACTAAGAAGCTGGAGCGTTTAGTTGTGGACAGAAAAGCAGCTCATCTCTTGGTGGGCCCATCCAAAAACCTCATTCGACCAACAGGCTTGAAGTTGTCCCGGGAAGAAGTGATGCTGTGCCTGGTGCAAGCCGTGCTCCTCACCGTGGCCCTGATGCTGATGCTGGTGGTCGTGGCAATGGACCACTTTGCATTCAATGTGGCAGACACAACGGTGAGAAAGGCAGCTCAGTTCTCCGTAGTGCCCGTCGCTCTCAACATCAAATACAGTGTAAGTGCTGGGGTCCCCTCTCCTTCCCTGCACAGAAACCCTGCTGTGTACCACATCACAGGAGGCAGCGGTGGAGACTACAGTCTTTGTAGCCTTATTTACACAATCCTTAATCTGGCCTAGTTCTGGTTTAGTTTTTTAGCTTTCCTCTCCTACCATGCAGCTGTCCTCCCTCTCCAGCCCCAGAGCTCCTCAGCACAGATATCTGCTTATGATGAATTTACAGTAAAATAATCAGGGCTTAGGAAAAAACGCAAATATTCAAATATGTAGCCACTAATACTGCTGTCTGTATTATGTCTTTAATTGTAAATCTCACACAGCTTCAATGTCCTCTTCACCACCCAAACAAGCTCTAATGGTGATTACACACCCCCAGGCTGATGTTTTTGTAGTAACCAGTTGATTTTAGTTTGTTCATACCCCATTTAACTTTTAATTCTCTTTATTTCAGGCTAAAATAGGGATCCTGCCCTTTCTTTTGAAACTTCTACAGCTTCCTAACGAAGAATTACCACTTCAGGGCTTTGAAAGAAGCTACCACCATTACCTGATCTTCAGCACTGCCCACTGCAGGATCAGCCCCCCGATGCCTCCCAACCCCTCTGTGCTGCTCGTGGTGGGACTGCTCTTCTGCATCCTCTACACCACCATATTCCTGGAAACCTACGCACACCGCCTGTGCAGGAAAATCTCAGGCTCCTTCTTCGAGAGCCGGGAGGAGGAGCGAGCACTTTACCTCTACAAAAAGCTGTCCTGGGAGCACAAGGAGCAAAACTCTGAGAGAAACTAAAGGTACTTATGGAAATACAGGGAATGCCTGAGAGCTGTGGCGGTGGTTGGGCACAGGCTTCTGCAATGAGATCATGCATTAAATTTTCCAGAGTCAGAGAAGTGTTTGGAGTCTGTTTTTTGCACTAACTTGAGAAAAATGGGCTAAATTTCCTTTTCTTTTTTTTCAATCTGGAAGGTCTGTCAGCTGTTGCAGGAATGGTGAGCGATAGCTCATGCGACTTGGAGTATATCTACAGCATTAGACAAGGCTAATGGGAAAATATGTGGGAGTCGAGGTGGGGGAAGAGCTCATTTACCTCAACCACCACACACTTCCTTTCTTTCTCAAGAAAGTACACACTTCCTTTCTTTCTCAAGTTATCCTTTCAGGCAGTAAGAAAGGAAGTTCATTTGACTTGATAAATTTGATTTTCAGGGAGTTTTTCTTTCAGGTTTCATGCACAGAAACCTGGCTAGACTGAATAAATATTAGACTTTAGAAGATAGTCTTTTCACCTAAGAAAGTGTCAGTTCATGCTACTGAAGTAAATTCACGACCCATATGACCATGAGATGTGCATCCTGGGCATGGGTGATGGTGGAAACCAGCACATGAGTACTTTATGAAATCACTTCACAATGGCTCTTCAAAATAAAGTATAAATAAAGTAACTGAAGGACCTCAGAAGAGTGTAAGACCAGCCAATAAAGACCAATTTGGGTGTTAGTCTCTTTTCCCAAATAACAATTGATAGGATGAGAGGAAACAGCCTCAAGTCCTGCCAAGGGAGGGTTAGATCAGATAGTATGAAAAATTTCTTCACTTGATGTCTAGATTGATAAATTAATTATAACCATCTATCTGACAAAATCCTGGTGCATTCATTTCCCCAGGTTTCTTAATTCCCTGCTGTTCTGGTGATTAATCCAAGCACCTTTCTGCCTCTACAGCAACTATGGGCCTTTGTCATGAGGTTTCTGTAGAAAATGCCCTGTGCTCTTCTGTTCGGGAAAAGCAAAAAGATTTCCACATACTCACTGGCTAGCCAAAATTATCTGGACCCAGGGGTTAAAATAGCTGGTAGGAAAACAGCTTTGCAGCTTCAGCCAGCAAACCATTCCAACAGCATGTTGCCTTTCAACAAGCACATCTTTTACAAAAGCTTTTCCTTGAAAAGACTTATCTTTTTGGCAAGAGATGCACACTGATCTTTAAGAAGTACTTTTTTTATGGCCAGCAACATTTGCAGAACCTCCCTGAGCAATGTCCAGTTCCTCTCCCAGCCTTCTCAGGGAGGTCTTCAGGGGAGATCTGTGCACAGGGAAAGGAGGCTGAAATGGTGAAGTGCTGAGGATAAGCATAGGAATGGGCTTTGTGCTGCAGATGGGTCCTCCAGGTTTAGATGGGGGTTTGGAGTGGATAAGACCACAGAGATGGTCTAAGAGGACTAAGCACCACCCTGAGTGTCCCATTGTACCCTTTGGACAGGCTCTGCCCAGCACCCAGCCAAGGCATCTGAAACAGCAGCTCCTGAAACATCACTTTTCAGCCTCAAAAAATCATATTTATTAGGAAAAGCTGACCCTAGTCCAGAGCAGTTCTTCCTGTCTTCTTTAGAGTTTCCTTCAGCTCTGACTGAATTTTTAACCACTTAAGACCAATCCTGGGAACTTTGCACTTCTACACTGTAAAATTCAGCATCAGACAAGCCTTGATTATCCTTTCAAGAAGATGTAATTATGTTAAGCATCAGTGCGAGGTACTGCTGCTCTGCCTCTGCTCCCAGAGTCACAGCCTTCATAAACCCTTCGTGGAGGGAGAGATGTGCTCCCATTTCCATTTTATAGAAGAGACTAAGGATGAGATTTTGAATGGTTCTTTGGTGGGTATCACAGGAGTTTCAGCAGGTTCATTGCCTGGAAACCATGGGCAGGAGAGCCCTTGTTGCCTGTTTGCATCTAGGAGTCAATTCTCCTGCCCCGGTTTGGACATCTGCTGTAGGAGGCAATGGATTGTGCCCCAGGTGCCATCCATCTCCTCAGCCTCGTGATCCTCACACAGAGGTTTTAACTTTAATAGCCACATAGAAATCAGCAAGGGAAAAAAATTGGTTTGGATGGTGAACACCTTGTGAAACACTGGTGGGGGTTGAGCGGTAGCCAAAAAACTGGCTTTTGTCATGGTGATGCTGAGGTTTGTTACTTTTAAAAGAGGATAATAAATGTTGTGAAGCACTTCACTGTGCTGTGAAGTGTCATGTCACTGGTGTCAGAAGGGTTTTTTAAATGTAGGAAGGAAAAAGTCACTTTGATGCCCATTATGGTTATTTTAGAGGAGAATTTGTACTGATGTTAAAATGTGTGCATGCTGAAGGCTGATATACTTGAATATCACTGAGAAATCAATGTTTGTGAGAAAGTGTTAACACAAGAGTACTGTTGCTTGAGTTGGTGTCTTCAAATATAGATACATAGTTAAGTGATGAATCTGTGTTGAGGAGAAAGAGGATGTTGAAAGCTGGCTCTTTGCCATTACGCCACTTAACCTAGAGCCCAGATCTTCATATGAGAAACTAAATCCAGGGAATTGTGGCAAAAATGACACCTGAGTGGGAACTCAGGGAAGAAGAGCTCTGAATGGCTTCCAGCCTGAGGGACCAGCGAGGAGACTCATGGGGAAACCACAGGTATGGAGTTAAACCTGAAGAAGCGTGTGGCAGAGGTGAGACCTGGGGCAGTCTGTGGGGTGAGCAAAGGGATCTGCCCACATGGCTGGAAGGACTTTAATCCCTGCAGTCACTTGCTTTTTCACTTTTCTGGGTGATAGCAGGACCCTGGGAACAGAAATGGGAAGGGAGGCCACAAGGAGTGGAG